ATCGTTTATTACCTCTGTAACATTATTGCAATGCCATTTAGAAGGCTCTGTTCCTTATTAGCAATGTTCTTACAGTATATTTTAGATATTAATTCTTTAGAGAAATGCAAAGGAATCTTCCAGATATGTATGGGGAAGTATCCAGATCTATTCTTCCTGATGCACTCTCAGACTGCTCTAAATTTAGATGCAAAGAAATAATTTACATATTCCTTGGATTATGATGGTAATTTGGATAGAAATTGCCATTGCAAAGTGATGTGGTTTTAAGTGTGACATCACATGACCACATTATTTAGCTCTGGCAATTCCAGCAATCCTGGTTGCTGTCATTAGAAAGGGCTGCATAAATCATGAAGCAAGGACCTCATGTGACAACTAGCTTCCTTCCAGCTTCCCCCTTGACTGTGCTTATGGGAGCTGGCAGGGAATGTTGGAAATTGTGATCATGTTACTGTGGGAATGCTGCATCATAAGTACCATTTGTCCAGCACTATCATAACTGAACAGTTACTGAATGCATGGTCATAACCCAAGGACTACTTATAAGAGATAAGAGAAACTTGTCACTTTCCTGTGTACACAATGGTACATTCACATTAAAATGAAATCAGTGCTTAATTCTCCATCATTTGATTGAAAATGTCTCAAAGAGATCTGTATCATTATACACCGCTTTTATAGATTTCAAGGCAGATTTTGATAGTTACCAGGACTAAACTATGGGAGAAGCTGGAAGCCAATTGATATAGGCTTCTCTATTTGTTACATGCCTTACATACTAAAACATCCCTCAAGATTAGATGTTACAAGCAAGAGTCCTTCTTGAGGTCAGTCAAAACTCAAAAGGGGGTTGCATTTTGGCCCCCTTGCTTTTCAACTTTTATATAAATGACACGGTAAAATGGTAAATAAACCAAGTTACCATCCCCCCCAAAATAGGTGATCGAAGTATCACCCTGCTGCTCTATGCAGATGATGCTGTGATCCTCTCCAGGACACCTGTAGGCCTTAAAAGAGCCTTGTGAGCCCTCATCCAGTATTATATTTACAATAAACTGGACATAAATTATCAGAAAACCAAGGTTATGGCCTTTGCAAAAAGGCTAAAACTCTACTCATGGTATCTTAATTGAATAGAATAGAATAGAATTCTTTATTGGCCAAGTGTGATTGGACACACAAGGAATTTGTCTTTGGTGCATATGCTCTCAGTGTACATAAAAAGACAAGATACATTCGTCAAGAATTACAAAGCACAACACCCAGTGACAGTCATACGGTACAATAAGTTAATGGTTATAATATAGAGCAGCGGTTCTCAACCTGGGGGTCGTGACCCCTTTGGAGGTCGAACGGCCATTTCACAGGGTCGCCAAAGCCCTCTCTCGCCTCCCCCATGCCTTCACTCACCCTCACCCTCTGCCGGATCGCCGTTCGCTGACCCCGCCCACTCCCAATCTATTGCTGCCTCCTGAGTCCCAGCTGATGGCTAGAGGGAAAAAAACCGTTTAAATTCTTGCTGCGGGGCTTCAAAGGGCCGCCCTAAAGCTGATCAGCGTTAAAAGAAAACAAATGAGTAGACTGGTGCCTGCAAAAATAGAAAAAACAGCCCCTTTTAGCTTCAGCATCGGTTAATTACCACAAGTTGATTAGATCGGCCTCCGGACTCTCAGCTGATTTGCTCTCAGCTGTTTTGCGCAGGGGTCTGTTCTCTGTTGCTAGCTGCAAAGAGAGCTGGAGCAGATTTTTTTTCCCCTAGCTATGCTGAGAAAGTGAAACTGAAAGTAAAGCAGGGTCTTTGTTGCAACATGACAAAATGAGGCAGAGAGAGATTTCTTTTTCTTTTTCCTCACCAAAAAAGGTAAGTGCAAAACTGCAAACAATGGGAAATTTAGGGCAAAAGAGGAGGTTCAAGATTTTAAAACACAAAAGAAAAAAAGCTCTATTTAACTAGGGAATTGTAATAATTGAAATACTATTAATTGTATATTGTATTGAAAGCAGAAATGGTTAAGTTGTGGTTTGGAGGAATATATGGGGGAAATTATTTAGTTTATTATTATTGGTAAATATAATTGATTTGTAAGAAATTGGATTGCATGGAAATAATTGGAATATTCATGTTCATATTGATTAATATACAAAAAGATAGTTATATAACTAATTGATTTATATTAAAATGTTGAATTTGTATTAAACAACTGTATTACATAATTACATAATTAACCAATGTGAGGATGGATATAAAAATAGATGACAATGTGAAGGGGTATAATATAGAATAGAAGGGAAAAATTAAATTTGATTAAGATAAAAGATGAGGATGAAGGGTAATATTGGTTTTTTTAAAAAATAGATGAGGAATAAATATGGCAAAAAGGAAATATAGAAATTGTAAATTTAATTGAAATGACTAAACACTGTTTAAATTTGTGAACCGGCCAAATATTCTGTTCAAAAAAATACATTGTATGTTTGTATGTGTGTTTCTAATTATTGCTATTTATTCATATTTGTTCTCTTTTATTCTTTAAAGTTTAACAATTCATTCTTTATCTTAATATCTTTATATTTGTTTGGGGTTGGTTTTCTTCCCTTTCATCTTTTTTATTGTACAGCAATCTTTCTCCTCAAACCTACCACCTCTCTCTTTTCTTTTCTCTCTTTCCCCCCCCTTCTCCTCCTCCCTACTTCCTTCCTTTCTCCTTCTCCTCCTCTCTTCCTCTCTCTCTTACCCTCACTCCTATTCTAATTTCCCTTCCCTTCCTTCATCCCTCTCTATTGCTGTATCCTTTTATGCATATGGACTACTCAGAGGGCTGAAAAAGTTATTTTTGACTGGTCCTCGCACTTTTGACCAGTGCTCGAATTTACGACTGTCCTCACATTTTATGTTTTTTGCCCTATCTTATCACCATGGTAAAGAGAAGCAGTTGTGAAATGAGTGACATGGCTGTTAAGAATGCTGCACGGGCATAAATGTGAAGATGGTCATACGTGTGAGGACCAGTCAAAAGTGTGAGGACCTGTCAGAAATGACTTTTTTCAGCCCTCTGAGTAGTCCCTATACACATAGCCATGGCCACCCGGTCACATGACCAGCTAGCCACTCCCACCCAGTCACATGCCCTCCAAGCCACGCCCACAAAATAAGCCACACCCACAGAACCGGTAGTAAAAAAATTTAGAACCCACCCCTGGTTGGGGGTCACCACAACATGAGGAACTGTATTAAAGGGTTGCGACATTAGGAAGGTTGAGAACCACTGATATAGAGCAAGTAACCACCTTTAAGTACCTGGGGTGTCATCCATGCCACTGGCTCAAGAAAAGCACATAGTGAATGTGCTCTGGCCAAAGATCAGCAAAGGCCATTCTCAAATATTTCTGCACAAAGGGAGGATACTATGTTCCTGCTGCAATTAAGCTCTTTCCGGACAAGTCGCTAGCACAGCTTCTTTACGGGACCTTGCTCAGACTCTCAGCTTCATGTTTCACACCACTGGAAAGAGTTCAATCCAGATTTATTAGAGCAATTCTCCAGATGCTGCGTTGTGTCTCAAATGCACTTCTGCGCCCGGAGACAGGATTGACAAAAGTCAAAGCAAGAATCTGTATAGCTTCTTTAAATCTTTGGCTAAACCTTAATTTCTTCCTGCAAGGCTCCATTAATCCTCCAAGACAAATTCTCCTCTTCATGGATCAAGGCCGTCAAGTCCAACCTTGCCAAACTAGACTTTTCTTCAGCCTCAATACTCAAGTTGGACTATGACCAAGCAAAACAAACCTTCCGACAAAGGGTAGAGGACATCAAGAGGCAAGCGGACTTAGGGGAAGCTCCATTGTTTGTGGCTTCAGACTCTATTAGATATGTTGTTACTCCTGCCAGTTATCTTAGCCGGTTGGAGACAACGAACCACTGGAAAGCATTGTCACTCACAGGGTGCCATGTCCTTCCATTGGCCATCCTGTATGGCAAGTATAAAAAGATACCATTGATTGAAAGACTCTGCTCTGGTGGCTCAGGAGAGGCGGAGACCGTTGGACACATACTTCTTCGATGCTCTTTCTATAGAAATATTTTAAAAAAACATATCCTCCCAATAATTGATAGGTATCCTGGCCACTGATTATCTCCAATGTCTGCTTAAGGACGAACAGACTGTGATTACACCACAGATGGCTAGATTCTGCACAGCAGCACTGGGGATCCATTGGAAATATGATTATGCCACCATAGCTATTTTACACAACTAATGTAGCAAACCCTTTTGCATTACTACTCTTTTGCATTTTAGTATTTAATGACTATGACATTAAATTTAAGCATTGATTTTATAGTATAATTAGACCATGTGTATCACACAGATTGGATGCCAAATTGTGACTTTAATATAGATTTTATTTGTTATTATTTTATTCTAGAATTTTGAACTGGATATTCCTTGAGTGTTTTTATTTGTTCTTGTCTCTGGACTTTGTAATAAACTTGATTTGATTTGAACTGTGTTGTGCTTGGCACCAGGGTAAAATGTTAGTTTTTTCTAAACCATTGCCTGAACAACACTAGAATGATTCTTAGGCTAGCTATTGATGAGTCAGTGGCTTGGTTCATATATATCTTCACAATATCCTGTGATTTGCTCATATTTAGATTGTCATGATGTGCAAAATCAATTTTTTTTTTTTACAATGGATCACAAATTGAAATGGCAGGTTCTTTTGTTTGTATTACACTTCAGCAAAATTAGTGGATCAGTATTTGAGATTATGTATATTTATGTTGTTTATTCTTCTGTTTTTGAAGCTCTAAAATGATTAAAACCTTAGGAGCGCTACAGCAGGAGCCGAGATATATACAGTTGCAAGAAAAAGTATGTGAACCCCTTGGGATTACGGGGAGTTTTGCATGAATTGGTCATAAAATGTGCTCTGAACTTCATCTAAGTCACAACAATAGAAAAACACAGTCTGCTGAAAATAATACTACACAAACATTAGATGTTGCCATGGTTTAATTGAACATAACATGTAAACATTCACAGTGCAGGGAGGAAAAAGTATGTGAACCTTTGGATTTAATAACTGGTTGACCCTCCTTTGGCAGCAATAACCTCAATCAAACGTTTCCTGTAGTTGCAGATCAGACCTGTACAACGATCTGGAGTAATTTTGGACCACTCCTCTTCACAAAACTGTTTCAGTGTAGCAATATTCTTGGGATGTCTGGTGTGAATCGCTCTCTTAAGGTCATGCCACAGCATTTCAATTGGGTTGAGGTCAGGACTCTGACTGGGCCACTCCAGAAGGCGTATTCTGTGCATTTTTTTGTTGAATTACTTGTATGCTTTGGGTCATTGTCCTGTTGCATCACTCATCCTCTGCGGAGCTTCAGTTGGCGGACAGATGGTCGTACGTTTTCCTGCAAAATGTCTTGATAAACTCTGGAATTCATTTTCCCATCAATGACAACAATCCGTCCAGGCCCTGAGGCAGCAAAGCAGCCCCAAACCATGATAAGTATTCCCAGATTTATGCCTTCAACAAGATGCGCCCACATACATATATACATATACACATACTCTTGACAGATATTTGTTGTGGACTTATCCATAAGAGAATTCTGGCTGCTGACTATTCTTCTTCTACAGCCATGCAGTAAAAGGGTTTGCAACCCTCTCTAATGCCACAAGTTTTCACAGTGGAAGAGACCATTAGAAAAGAATTCAATATGAGTAAATATGCTTGACAAGTTGATGAGAATAATCACATTAGCAATTTGTCCCGAAGTCTCCCAAAGATCATGCTTTGTAGAAAAATGTTGGTCAGCCAAGAGATGAATTGCAACCTACTGTCTGGTGGGACTTCACAGGGGTTACTCCCCATGCATTATTGCACAGTGAGTGTCCCCTGTTCACTGTGGTCCATATTCCAAAGGCGGTAAAACTCTGCAAAGTCTACATAGGATTCAACGCGCCCATCTTCATCCGGCCTGAGAGAATGAGAAGGACGAGAACGGAAAAGGCCTCCATCTGAGCTTGAGCTGCTACTCTGGGTATGAGTGTTAGTAGACTGAAGAGTCACAGTAGGACTTTGACTGTAGGTAAAGCCGTGAAGTGAGGAAAGAAAAGAAAGAAAAGCAATCGTTCATTCAATCTTCACAAATGACATACCAAAGGTAATTTACAGTGGGGCCTCTCAAAGCGCCCCCCCCCCCCCCCCCCGGGCCCCTCTGCACAATCACTTAACAACCACAATGAGAACTGGGATTGTGATAATTGAAGAAGGTGATCACATAGATATCTCACTTAACTTGTTTGGAGATCCTCGGAGAGTAGGTTTAGATTCTGAAAGGCTTTTTAGATTGAACGTTGTCACTGTCCTTGCTGACACAAGGTGTGTATCAATTTTTATCAGTTTTTAGCTGATGAAACACTCTGGGCTCTTTTCATATGTACCACTGCAAACCAGGTTTTCCCTAATCCCATGCCTGTGACTTTCATCCCTTCCCCCCATGCAGGACTAATTTCTCCTTTCTTCATTTTGGCTACTTGTTCAAGCTTGTCTAAGCTTGTCTTTGGAATCTTCTTTTTCTTTTGTGTTAGCCATTTCTAGTTTTGTGTCACTGGAAAATTATGTAATTATTCTCTCAATTCTTTGAGAGAAGAGGTCAATCTGAGGTCATTAACAAAAATGTTGAACAGCACAGGGCTTGGAAGTTTACATTAAGCAGCATCTAGAAAAAAATAATGTAACATGTCCAATATTCCATGGATAACAGGAATAAAGGGTAATAGGGAATAAAACTTAACAGGGAACATTTACTTGGTAAGTGTGGGCGTGGCTTCATCCAGCGTAGAGCTACTGTGGGCACCATTGACCATCTGACCTTGAGAAGGCATCACAAGTGATAAAGTCACACTGGTCTTGCTTGTGCTCTGAGTACTAGAGTATGGCACTGACACAGGATAGACACGGCCACCTAGAGGTACAGAAATATATCATGAAAAGAATGGGTAAATTGGGAAATGCCAGTAGCTTTTTTCTAAAATTCCCCCCCCCCCCCAGATGTTAGGAAATGATTATTACCTAACTTGTTGGGTTGGTAATATATAAACAATCAATATAGCTTTAAGACTGCTATATTGCATCATACTGTGTCCTGATTGATTAGCTCTGTAGCCAATGTCCTTAAGAGGGAGCTAGAAACATGGTTTGTTTCTCTTTGATTCTCTTTGATGCTCTTTGCTGACCGTTACTGCTCTTTGCTGTGTTTGCTACTGTTTGCAACTGTTTATTGTGTATGACTACAACGACTGGTAAGAAGACTTTGTTATTGGATTATCCCTGGACTATTGTTTTACCATCTACTGCTTTATCTGTGTATGACCTGGACTGTTTATTGGACTGTGTCTTATTACTATTTCCTGAAAGTAAACACAACTCAGTGTATCTGTGTGTTGGCTGTGTTTATTCATAACTACTCTCAATCGCTTTCATGTGCACACCCTTGCTACTCAAGGGTTGCTCTGCTAATTCCTTAACAAAAGCATGGCCCTTTAATCCAATGATGAATAGCTTATATTGTTAATAAAAAAAATAGCATTATGGCTGCTTCATACCATCCTAAGCCAAATCAAAATCTCACAAGATGTTTATAATGCTTCTTTTTATGTGCACCTCTTTCTTTATATGCTTCTCTTTTATACAACCAACTGGGGGAGAGTACAGGTCTAAATCTGCTGCTGCCTTTCACACACAATTTCTGTCATAGAAATATTTAATTTTCTCATACCTTGTGTTGGAGTCAGTGTGGGCTGGCTCATCTCCCCTAGCGGGTACCCAAAATTTCTTACTAGGACTGTCATGTCTTCATGCCGAGAGCAGAATTTGGACCGTTCACCACCGCTGGCATAGGTATCACAGTGAATACGCTTAACTCGATCTACAACTGCTTGAGCCACAGAATCCAATAACGTTTGTTTGGCAAACTCTGTGGCAATCATGGCTGCAATTTCCTGGAAAAGGAAGAAGTTTACAAAAAAATATGTTGGCACTAAATGTGATTCATGGAAAGCCCTGAAGATGTTGCTCCCATCACTTAGGAGTTACTTATTTGTGAGCAGCCCCAATGCAGCTGCAGCTTAGACAACTGTGGGGGATCCTGCCCCAAAACAGGCACCAACCAGAACAAGTATCCTACGATCAAAACCCTGAGAATCGGATCATGGCTGGGCTCTTAAAGCGGCATTATAGGAAAGCTGCTCATGGCTGAACAGTTCTCAAAGATCTGGATAAACACTAGGAGGACATCCTAGTAATCCATCTGAAGTGGAAAGGTATAAAACCTAATAAGCTTTTTGTCAGATTACTTGAAAGGACTGCACATTCTTCCTGCAATTATGTGCGTACATACAGAAAACCTTCTATCAGCAGTGATATGGACATGGTTTACTTGTAGGTTGCCCCATATATTTTCTCTTCCAATATAACCCTTTCATTTTTTAATATAACCTTATTGACAGTTTTAAAAACAAGGAATAAAAATTAATAGAAACGAAAACATAATCAGAAAGAAAAAAGAAATAAAAGAAAACTAAAGTGCAAAAGAAAAAATGGTAGAAGAAAAATAGAAAAAAAGATAAAAAGTGCTTCCAATCTTAGAGCAGCTGTAAGTTTGATTATAAATTTACTTCTTAAGTTACATAACAACTCTCTTCTTTCTATAATCTTTCCTATTTGGTTGTCAAAACCATACATCATACTTTTTTTGGTTTATCGTATAAAAGCTTATCGTGCCCAAGATAAACCAATAAACCAATGGTAGTTGCACTTTAGAATATGTAATCTGTTTCCTACATTTTAAATATAACAATAAAACACCAGATTTTGCTCTGTATATACTGCACATCTTAGAGAGAATGTTCAATTCTCTCTACATTATTGGCCATGTATCTACAAGAATGGCTCATCTATAATGCTATACCGTTATCCACAAATAATAAGCACTCAGAATTGAAACCCCTTTCAGTTTAGATCTGAAGACAATAATGTGGTGCAAAAGAACAGTTTTTCATTGCTGTGGAGTCACTACCTGATTGGCTTGTCCAGGTCCATGAGCAGCTTCTAGAGCTTTGTAGAGTCCTTCTGACATGAGCACAAGAAAGCCTGTGACGCCATCTAATGGGTGCCCACCATGGATTTCAGGCTCTGCTATGATTGGCTTAGATTTCGCAGCACTTCAAAGAGAAACCTCAATTAGTACTATATAATGCAGTGGAAAAGGATTTGGCAATACAATAAAATCAAATAGGGAAATTAGAGTAAGATACAAACAAGCTTTCCCTTACCTAAGAAATTCAATATCACTGTAGCCATATTTGACCTTATAATCTCCAATACGCCGAGTACTTTCTTGCCCACCTATGGTTCCTACTTGCTTTATTTTTGCTGCATCTAAACCTGCCGGGGTATAAAACAAAAGCCTCATTGATTTAGGTTCCTGTGCTAAGAAGTTACATTTGCATTCCAAGTCAGGGGACAGCAATGTCAGCTGGAAAATTAGCTAACCAATGAGGGAAGAGATCATGAACTTAAGGAGACAGAGAACTGACTTTCATCTTTAGTTATTTATTGGAAAGAAAGGGCAGACTCATATTCTACAGCAGGGCTATCGAATTCCCGGCCCGCGAACCGGATGCATCACTTGCTGGCCATACCCACGTCTGGTTTAGCGAAGGGGAAAAAAGTCTCATTTGACACTTCTGTTCTAGACACTGTTTCTTACCCTGGATGTTCTTATACCATCTAGTATCACTGCATTTATAAACAGTTAGTCAACCATTTTTTCTGAAAACATAATATATAAATCAGCTTTCATTGCCTTCATAAATTAAAACAATTATAAATCAGAGAACTCAGGAAAAAAATTAATATACTTCAAAATGCTTTAAACGTATCTCAGTTCAGTTCATACAGCAATGTAACCTAAATCAAAATATTTATAAGATTTTCTTCAGATTTATCATTCATTTTTCTACCCCATTGTAAGAGCTGTATGTTGACTTGATTACTACAAAGGAAAAATTGAGAGCTATCTAAGAAATCTTAGACTGAGATGCAAATAAAATCTAGAATAATTTACTTACTCTAATCAGTTTTGAGGGGAACAGAACATTGAAATTTCCTGTGTCCAATGCAATGATATAATTAATCAAGTTTATTTCCAACACCTGATTGTTCTTTTAAATAATTCCAACAACTTCTTTGTGAAATTTTTTAAATCTGAATTACTAATTCTGAAAATTAGTTAAAATCTAGGTGTAGCAACAGGCTGCCAAGGCTGTGAATAGCAGAGCAAACCAGCACAACATAAAAACAAGTGTGCTTCCTGCCAAGCAGAAGAAAATGGGATAATGTTCTCTAATCTTGGGCTAATCTTCATTTTGAATTATTTATTTTACTTAGAAAGCAATAGATGAAAAAACAATGTACAGCCTTGATAGTACAGTGGTTTAGTGCACCCTGTTATTAACACAGCTGCCTGCAATTTCTGCTGGTTCGAATCTCTCCAAGGCTCAAGGTTGACTCAGCCTTCCATCCTTTCTAAGGTAGATGAAATGAGGACCCAGTTTGTGGGGGCAATAAACTGACTTTGTATAAAATATACAAAAGAATGAAGGCTATTGCTTAACACATTGTAAGCCGCCCTGAGTCTCCGGAGAAGGGCGGCATATAAATCAAATTAAAAAAAAAAATGTTTGGGAGAGGCCAAAGCTTAACTATAGAGCATCCGTTTTGTACAGAGTAAGGCATGGATTCAATATTTATAATCTTCAATTGAAAGATTCAGGAAGGAAAGGAGGTAAAAGACACCTGACTCAAAACCTCTACAGGTCAAAACAATACCTAGATAAGGGGGAGTGGGAGAGAATAATTTGTTACCATAATTTACCTCTCAAAAGAACACATCATACAAAATGATTTCCAAATACACCTATAGTGATTAATAACGTTTAGCAGAAAGCTCTTCTACCAATAATTTGGGAATTTTACTTGCTATCCTCTTAACAATTTGGATGTGAGCAGCCATTTAATAGTGTTCTCTGGATGCCCAAGAAAAGGAAAGGAGAGGACAGGAGGGGAGGGGAAGAGGGGAAGGGAAAGGGGAAAGGGGAAAGGGGAAAGGGGAAAGGAAAGGAAAGGAAAGGAAAGGAAAGGAAAGGAAAGGAAAGGAAAGGAAAGGAAAGGAAAGGAAAGGAAAGGAAAGGAAAAAGGAAAGGAAAGAAAGGAAAGGAAAGGAAAGGAAAGGAAAGGAAAGGAAAGGAAAGGAAAGGAAAAAAGGAAAGGAAAGGAAAGGAAAGGAAAGGAAAGGAAAGGAAAGGAAAATACGCAAGGGTTTGGGGTTTTTTGCCAATTGTTGAATGTCTGCTTTTCCAGAGATCAATAAATGCCTGACCTTGGGAATTTCTGAATACAACAGAAAGCCATTTAATTAACCTGGCTTTCACTCCTAGTGGCTGCATAGATAACAGCTCACCTACTGAAGACAACTAGGTTCTTTGGTGAATGTTTTTCTGCACCACATATAACACATATTGGAACAAATTTAAATATTTGGTTTATGTATTTGGTTTAACTATCCATTCTCTGTAACTGGGAATACTACAGCTGAGACTAAATAAAATATTAGTTTTGCAACCTGTGGTGGCAACAAAAGCCCTTTTTCAACTTTCCAATATTCAGATATTCAATTATATATTTCCTATAGTGGGAAGGAGAGAGATTACTACATTCACCTTCAATTGGGCATGCTTTAGCTTGACACTGCTAACCAGAGAACCCATCAATAAACAGTGATACTCTGTAGGGAAACAAAAGAAAAAGAAAAACCTCAGCAAAAAAAAAAATCTTATTTTGGAATCTCTTCCCCCTACTGCAGGAAGTAATCTGGGATCTACTTACAAAACTCACAATACTTTTTTGATAGTATGAACTGCTCCAAAAAACCCTCATATATTTTGTTTTATCCAGTTTGTTTCAAGTTAAAATGCCAATTCTTGAGGATGGTGGGGGCTTTTAAAACATTCTTCTTTAATTTTTTTTTCCTCTGTGGCTTTACCTACTTCTGCATCATCGCTTCAGCCAACTTCTTGTGCGATTATTTTTAATTAATTAAGAATCATAGGCTTGCACATGACTCTGGGTTACTAGGTGTTTAAAGGCTACCTACTAATGTTCCCAATAACAACTCATAGTTTTCAAGAGAGTTCCAGTAATCCAATGTACCATATCCATGGTTTATTTCTTTCCACTTTGTCAAGCATACTAATTTTAACTAGTTCAGCATATATTCACCTCACATCATATGAAGTCAGTCTTTATTTGATCCAAGACTGATTGACTTGATTTGTTGTGGGTCATGGTGTTCTTAGTAACTGTCAGGGGAACATTTCTTACCCAGTTGTGAAAAGCGGAATAATTCATCTTCATTCTCGGTAGTGTGATCCATATTGAGCTGTGTCACTTGCAATCCATCCATGGTAGATTTGCACAAAAGTGCACGGTTTGTTCCTGTAAAGAGAGAATGTACAATGCAAAGTCAGAAACTGTAACTGACCACTACTGCCCTATGACCAAAAATCTTTTTTGTTTCTTGCTAGGAAACTGTACAATTCCAAGCTGTTTCACAAAGCTATTTTTTGTGGTCATTTGAGAAGTCAGAGAAGCATTTTCCTTGGATAAATCCAATCAACCAACTCTCATCACTTAATGTTGGACTAAAGAAAGTGCCACGTCAAAAGAGCATAAAAGAGGAACACACCTACATTAGCGATATAAAGTTTGTTGTTAAGAATCACTGCCACAATGGCCATGGCTCCTCCAGAGATTTCCTTTTCTACAGACTTCAACCTCTCCAAAATTTTCTGGTACTGAGGAGGCAGCTGGTGATGGGGAACCCCCTATAAGACAAAGCCATAAGTAAGCTTATCAGCAATATACTTTGGGAATCTTCTATGTACCAAAAGAATTACTGTGTTTATATTTTTCTTCACCTACATACATATATATCTGTCAAAGGAAAATGCATCATGCATTTGACAAAAGTCACTCCAGTCCACAAAGTTTATGTCATAATAAATGTACTACTCTTCTAAAATGCTAGCACATTTTTAAATATAAAAAGAACAATCATATAACTGCATTTGACAGCCGTTAGGTAGCAAAACAAGCTAACAAAGGCATTCAATCATATTTAGCCTAATCATCTCTATATTAGGTCAGGATTGTTAAAACATTTCCCTTTCAAAATACCTGTGCTATGCATGAAACAGAATTTCCAATTAATTTAATAGTTATAATCGTTACAAACATAGGACATTAAAGGATTTTGTGTGTGTGCTTTTGAGTTAAATTTTGACTCCTGGTGACTGCCCAGACAAGTCCTTGCAGTTCTCTTGACAAGATTTTAGAAGTAATTTGCCACTGCTTCCTTTTTAGGGTTCGGAGAGAATGATTGATTCAAGATCACCCAGTTTGCTTCATGTCTAAGGCAATACTAAAACTCACAAGCTTCTAGCCTGGAGCTTTAACCACTACACCTCTCAAAGGACTGCATTATTACTAAATTATTTAACAGACTACAAGGGCCCAGTTTTGTGCATACAGTATTTATATTCTATTATTCCAGCTTCGACTCACATAGCACTCATCTACCCATATTCTAAAATAACATATAAGCAATTAGAGTTTCCAAAAATAAAATGTGAAGTCAACATTCCTGGAATTGCCTAGTAAGATATGGAGTTACCTCTGGTAACTGGGATTGGAGGCTGGCTTTTTCTGCCAATGCATCATCAATGGACTCCAAAAAACTTCTTTCTACCACATCAAAGGCCTGAGAAAGTACCAGAAATAGATTAATAGAAATAACTGAAGTCCTCAGAGTATGTATCAGAAAGCATAGACAATAGATTGTTGGTGTTATAGAAAAATGTCTGGTTTTGGAAGAATACAATTTCATAATTTGTTGGATATTATTGTTTTCTTTCCTATTCTTTTATTTTTCATTTACAAATTCTAATACAATTATACATAGAGAGAAGGTTCTATTACCTGTAACAAGATTCTGCGCACCTCTGCCTCATCCTGCTCTGCATTCAGCTGGCCCAACAGGAGTTCTGCAGAAAGCCGCTCTCCCACAAAGTTTGTGATTCGGTTACCATCATAACCATTAAAGACTCCATAGAGGTAGCAATTATTCTCACTTCTGCCAAAATGAGTTAGGATAGGTAAGCAGTGCTCTTTCTTATGTAATCAGAGTAACAGCCAGAGAAAACCAAATGAGAAGAGAAAGAATGAGAAAATTGTACCCTTGTTCCAGGGGTATCAAACTCAAGGCCCGCAGGCCAGATCCAGCCCATGGGGTACTTAGATCTGGCCCGCAGGGCCGTTCTGGAAACAGCGAATAACCGGCCCACAGTGCTTCTGCCAGAGAAAACAGAGCTAGGGAGGGCCACAGGCAGCCCTCCCAAGCTCCGTTTCTGCTGGCAGAGGGTAGCAGGAGGCCATCGCAGCCAAAAACGGAGCTCAGGAGCCCATTTTCACTGGCAGTGTTCAGGCCACCACAGGTGCCCCTTACTCAGGTGACATTGAGCTGGCCACACCCACCCTGGCCACGCCCAGCCCAGCCCCTAGAAGTCAAACACAACCCTGATGCGGCCCTCAATGAAATCGAGTTTGACACCCCTGACTTGTTCAGTTGAACAGTAGTTACTGTAGCTACTTACCTGAATTTCAACCAGTTATCCTCTAAGGGATGAATTTCAGTGCCCTTTCCATCAGTAGTGTAGGAACGATTAGAAGCTGAACCAACACCAGAGAGCTGACATAGCGGCAAGTCATCTGTCCAACTTGAAAGCTGCTCCTAAATATTTACAAGAAAAAAGGTCCATTTCTCAATAAAAGCAAATGGAATAAATGGCATACTAATCAGAATGCCTTATTAGAGTGCTAGCAGTTAAAACACTTAAGATCCTTTTCATACTTACATAGATCTTGCCACCTCAACCATATTTTCTCTGCTATTACATCACTCTTACTTACTCTTGCTCCTTGAAACTTAACTCCAGATATTAAATGCCCATGTATCCATACTCTAATCTACTGTCTGAATATACATAACTTGTCCTGCAAAACTAGTAAGAGGGATACATTTTAATTACCATCATTTAGGGTTTTTTCCCATGCATAGTTCAGACAATAATACTCCTCTTGCATTTCTAAAACAGTTATCCTTCAGAAAGCCACAACTCTTCTCCCCCAGTATATACATGGATTGCAGAGGTCATATTTGTCTATCCACCACAGAATTGTAAGATGTTCATTTGGAATAATCTTCCCTAGAAACACTGCATAAGTATTTATAAAGTAGTTCCTTTTTTTAATATGGGTCTAAGGACAAGAGTGCAAATAGTGCAGGTTGGAAGCTGCAAGCTACCGGTAACTGAAATCTGCAAAATCCTTCATTCATCTTGATAGGTGCCACTCGTGACTAATGCTGAATTGAGCTTGACTATATTGTTTACAGATGCAAAAGCCAGAAATATAATTATCTTGCTACATTATTAATATCATAAGAGCACCAGAAGCTATTTTATTATCAGTGTTTTTCCTTTACTCTTTATACTGAAAAAATTATCTCAATAAAGCTGATGCAAAATAGGATTGTAGAATAATATATTAATGCACAAAGTACATGAATAGTGCAACTGGAGTATCTTATTCATATGCTGCAACTTATGAGAGCAACCATGTTTTGATTTCACCTAATTTTTTCCTTGATAAAGTAATAAAATAGCTATATATTCCGGGGGATAGTTGAAGTGAAAAAACACAGTTTTTCATTCTCATGCATATTTTGTGAAAATTATAAGCATGAAGTTGCTCCGATTTGGTTAGTTTCTAATTTGCAAGTTTTATTGCCAACTGTATCCAGAAGAAAAAAAAAAGGAGGGGGTGGGGAATGGAAGGATTTATACTCCTTGCAGACAGCTAGACGTTTGCATTCGTTCAGCGGGTCATTAAGGTCACCTGGATGTTTATCTGTGACATTAGGGTCACCTGAGTGGTGCAAATTAGTGTGGATGTGGAGCCTTCTTGGAATTGTTGAAAGGACTGTGTGGTAGATTAGAGATAGAGCATATCCCTCCCCCTCTGTTGAGAGAGGGCTGTTGAATTTTGATTATGTCCAGTTGCCTTTTGGGGGGAAGCACCTTTGGGACAACCATGATCTGGATGACTGAGAATCTCTACACACATTTAAGATGTAGTCCAGTGGTGAAATCCAATTTTTTTTACTACTGGTTCTATGGGCGTGGCTTGGTCGGTGTGACAGGGGAAGGATACTGCAAAATCTCCATTCCCACCCACTCCAGGGGAAGGATACTGCAAAATCTCCATTCCCACCCCACTCCAGGGGAAGGATACTGCAAAATCTCCATTCCCACCCCACTCTAGGGGAAGGATACTGCAAAATCTCGCTTCCCACCCCTCTAGGGGAAGGATACTGCAAAATCTCCGTTCCACCCCACTCCAGGGGAAGGATATTGCAAAATCTCCGTTCCCACCCCACTCCAGGGGAAGGATACTGCAAAATCTCCATTCCCACCCCACTCCAGGGGAAGGATACTGCAAAATCTCCATTCCCACCCCACTCCAGGGGAAGGATACTGCAAAAGCTCCCTTCCCACCCCACTCCAGGAGAAGGATACTGCAAAAGCTCCCTTCCCACCCCACTCCAGGGGAAGGATACTGCAAAGCTCCCTTCCCACCCCACTCCAGGGGAAGGATACTGCAAAATCTCCATTCCCACCCCACTCCAGGGGAAGGATATTGCAAAATCTCCGTTCTCACCCCATTCAGGGGAAGGATATTGCAAAATCTCCGTTCCCACCTCACTCTGGGGCCAGCCAGAGGTGGTACTCAAAATTTCCGCTACCGGTTGTCCAGAACCTGTCAGAACCTGCTGGATTTCAACCCTGATGTAGCCTATTTACACGCCCTAGATTTTGCATTTTATGGGAATGGGGCGCACCCGCCTTTGGCAACGGTGCCTCTTCCGGCTGGGTTGGCTGCAATGCCTATAGTTCCAAATCAGCCCAGCCTACCGCGGCAGGTAACTTGTCGCATAGAAAACTACGCATCCCAAAATGCTGCCTCGCGTACGGCGTCATTAAAGGGGAACCCCTCTATGCCTTTGGCTCAGATTACTTCCATGGCTGAAAGGGAGCACGCCGTGCATCCTCTGCCTGCAACGCCCATCCCTTCCATTAAGGTTGCAGGAAAGCATCCCTCCGTGCGTGGGCAAGGCAGGGGAAGAAGAAGCCCGGGAGCCACCCGACTCTTCCCTTAAATCCGGGAGGGGTACTTTCCTCCGTCCGTTCTCCCCCACCCACCCGCAGCCGCCGCGCTCCTCCCGTGATCCCATAGAAAAAGGGGAGCCGCTCACACTCTGCAAAAGACTCCTCCTCACTGCCGCCATCTTTACGCAGAAGCAATTCCCTCCTCCCACCCATCGGCGGGCGAGAGAGGTAGGCTCGGGCTGCAGGACGGCCATCGGATGTAGTTTTAGCCTGCGGAATTGGGTCCGATTTTCCTCGGTCGACAGCGCCCTCGAGAGGACGGGAGGAAGTATTGAGGCTCGTTGCTTTGCTCTTCTGCATTTTGTCCTGCGTATTGGTTGTTTTTTGTTTTTTTAAATATACACTATCTATTTGCAGCAAGAAATTTGTCAATGTAGTCCTCGGCTACCATAGCGGTTAATGCTGTATTTTGCAGATAAAACAGGAGGAGCGCCGCGGACATCAGCACTAACTGGCTTTCTATATTCAATTGATCATATATTTCTAAGCCTTGTACTGAACCGGACTATTTGATCGGCAACGGCTGTATATTGTACATTTTCACAGAATTGGGGGCTTTTAAGCCTGCGAATCCACATCTTAGATCATCTCTTGAGAAATTTCAGTAGCCTGCAAAATATTATCTTGTGATAATTGAATGTTACCTTTGGTGCCTTCTTCTCTTACTGCAATTTTGCTAAAGTTTTAAGTTTACCACTCATTTTCAAAGTGGCACCAATTTGTAATGTTAGTGTTTAAGGTCCTGGCTTTAGTCTGGAGAGATCGAGTCCAGGTGCCTTTCATAGAACTCCCTAGCTGGTTTAAGGTCAGTCACTTTCAGCCTGATCTACCTGCCAAAGTTGTTGTAAGGATAAAAGGATTAAATGAGGGGAGTTCCCCATGAGCTCCTGGAGAAGTGGGAGATGAATGAATGGGTTTGTGACAGACCTTAGAGCAGCCAAGCCAGGTTTTACATTCAAGATGGCCTCTCTTCTAGGGTTGTCCCCAAAAGACCCCAATGTGAAAGTTGCAGAACTGTAAATTAACTGGATTATTTCTTGAATGGCTTGGAAAGGGTTAGTAGATGGACCAGCTGGCTGTGGAACCTGAGATCTGTGCTGAAATGCTTTGGAAATTGGTAAGAGAAGGCTTCTTGCCATTACAGTACCCTAGCTATTCAGTGTCATACAGTACAGGTAGTCCTCAACTTACAACAGTTGGTTTAGTAACCATTCAAAATTACAAAGGCACTGAAAAAAGTGATTATGACTGTTTTTCATACTTAGGACCATTGTAGCATCCCCATGGTCACATGATCAAAATTCAGATGCTTGGCAACTGACTCAGTTATGATGGTTGTAGTGTCCCAGGGTCATGTGATCACATTTTGCAACCTTTTGACAAGTCCACGAAAAAGCCAGATTCATTTAACAACTGTATTACTAAAAATTTCAGTGATTCATTTGACAACTATGGCAAGAAAGGTCATAAAATGGAGCAAAACGCACTTAACAAATGTCTTATTTACCAACAGAAATGTTGAGCTTAATTTTGGTCGTAGATTGAGAACTAGCCACTTCCTAATAGAAATCTATTAATGTCCCAGCAAGAATGTATTTGAGAAATCTTAGCCATTGGAAAAATCATATGATGAAATGAATCCAGTGGTTTGTCATCTTTCCCCCCTGGATTGTACCCAAATGATTCTGCACACAATGGGCTGACAAGGTTTGTTAGTGCAGGTATAAAGTATTAGCTCACCATGCTAATGAAGCAACTGCCTTGTGAAGACAAGCAGCCAGACCTTTGAATGGAGGAGCCTTTGTTTTAGGTTACCTTGAGAAGTCCTTTTTCTGTCACTTGCTGGCTGGTATAAGCCACATAAAAAAGCAAGACCTGCAGATGGGTGCTCTTGGTTCTTTCCCCATTTTCTCAGAAAACAAAGGACATTTTAGTATTGTGTGAACTGCCCTGTAAAGCTTTCAGGTTGGAAAATGAGATTTTAAAAATCATGTAAATTAAGATTATGCATCTTTTCTCACATCAAGAGCCGCACTTTCCTTGAGGCCTGCTTCAAAAATCAGACAAGGTTGGGGAAAACAGATGGTAGAGCCAGTTAGGTGAAGAGAGATGACGGTGTTGAGCTGAGATATGGAAGATCTGGATTCAAGCCAGCGGTGTACTGGAACTGGCTTGTACCAGCTTGCAAGAACCACTGGTTAAATTTTCAGAAACAGTGAGAGCAGAGCTGAGCTGTGACACCTAGCATGCTGATTTGGCACACTACTTTCAGTCCACTTTACTCTACAGAAAAAATAAAATAAAAAGGAAGGAGTACTGTATATGCCAGCTTCAGCTCCTGGAGGAAAGGTGGAATATACATCTAACAAATATGATTAAAACTAGATTTTGGTGTCAAAATGATTGCCTGTCACCTTAAAGATTACAATTCTGTAACAGTTTTTGAAAGGTTTCTGAGGACTGTTTCAAGGTTTTCAGGGGCTGCATGTGGCCTTGAGGCCACAAATTGTGCACAGTCATTTGAACTAATGTAATAACTTAAATTTGAGAGAATGAAAATTTCAGAACACTCCTGTTACAATTTTCAATGTAACAATTTTATTGATAAGATATCAGTAATTATCACCTTCACTTGTTTTTTTTTTTAAATAACCACAAACATATAGGACGTCATAAACAGAGATGCCAAGAGGTCAGGGTTTCTTCTATTAGTTGGTAGGAGGAGATACACTGAAGAGGATAAAATGAGTGGAGCTAAGAATTCACTGAACATTTGGGGGATCCTGTATGGAGCAAGCCACTCTTTCATTGCCAGATATGTGTATATGTGTGTATATAGAGTTCTATATTATACATCTTTATATATAATATATATATACTATACACGGGCAGTAATGCAATAGATTAAGGATATACTCCTGAGTCAATGATTCTGGGACAAAGAGATTGTCAGAACTGTATGTATTGCATGATGTAAAATGAACTGGCCTATGATTTTTTACTCTCTTCCAGCTTAATTTCATAAAATCACCAAAAGTAGTCTTTCTTTGCAACTGAAATCATGCTTGGGAATGTACAGAGATCTAGCAGCATCAAATACCAAGAACCATTGTCCACTATTATTGAAAAAACTAGGGAAAAATGTTTCTCTAACAAAGGTTAGAGAAACATTTGTTTGATTTCAGTATTCAATAATAAAAAATTGGACTGGATATCCATTCTTCCTTGGACATCAATGATAATGGTCTTCAGGTGAGATATGTATGCAAGTACTTCCCTATTTGCTGGGCACAAAACAATTAAAGTCAACCTTTATGAACCATTAGCCTACACACAGCTCTATAACAATATAAGACAACTCACCTCAGTAAACGACCTACACTATTGCCTAGCGATCTTCTTCATCTGGATGATGGATATTTACTTTGGGGGCTTTCAATCTCACCAGATAAGGTAATCAATTCCACAGGAAGGCTAAAATTACTTTTATTGTGGTTGGCTATAATAACAGAATCTTGCAAGTCTGATTGTACTGCACCTCCTCTTTCTTACACTCCAATGAATTAGGGAGGTGTCTATCTGAGCCAAATACTATTTACTGTACATTTAAGATACGCTTCACCCCTCATTGCTTTGGTAATGGAGCTTGCACATCTCTGTCAAGGTCATCTTTCTTTCTCTCTGCAGTGGCTCAGAAGTTGTGTAGATGTAAACAAAGATATCATTAAACAAGGAAATCCCTATATGCTGATCAATCTAATTGTCAACTTTTATGTGGCTTATATTCCCTCTGAACAATTAAAATCTGAGGAAGATAACAACTTCAACTTCAGAAATATAATGCAATGTTCCAGGCCAGTATTGTATTTCCAAACTGTTTCACATTAGGTCAAGCAGCCAAATTATACTAGAATTGCCCTGCAAGGAATACATTAGCGTAAAGGGGCTCTGTATGGTTCTAAAGAGGCAGAGCCATCTGCCAGGAAGCTAAGTTAAGTGATAACTCATTGAGCATGACCTCTATGCATAAGTGTTATCCATTCCTCATGCTTTATGTGGAAACTGAGCTAAACACTGAGGTAATTCAGTTGCTTTATAATTCAGTATGAAATGGCTGCAATCTTGTGTCAGAAATTAATGCAAAGATTCCAGTGGCGTATCAAAGAGCAATCATCACAATGCTGAGTTCAGTGAGATAACAGTGAACTCTTCCTGGGGAGAGGAAGCATATGTTGTTATGCCCCAATTGTGTGAATTGTTCTTGTTACTGGGCCTTTGTCAGGGAGGATTACTATTTATATTATGGTTATTGGTTGCCTGGAGTTGCATTTTTGCAAATTGGGCAGCCATATAAATATTTAAATAAATAAATAAATAATATAGCTTCTGAGTAGCCAAAATGTCTCCCTTGATGGTGGACTTTTTCTACAGAAAACCCTTTTATTGTTCAAATAAAAGGCTTGTATTACCCAAACAGTAGCCAGTGTTACTGTTTGGGTACTTCAATTAAATGGAAGTAAGCCAGACTGACATCTGATCCTCTTTGAATGAAATAGAAAATGTTTCAAAAAAGAAATCATTATTGAACTTTTTGTAAGAAAGAAGATTTAAGACAGGCATTGGCCATGCCCAGATCTGAGAGTATAATGTTTATTATAAAGTGAAAGATTCAATACCCTTAACTGCAATCCTGGTTTGCAGGATGACAGAAATGAGCTAACATTTTCACCATTGTCAGGTGTGCCCCTTTTCTAGACTTTGTAATGATACTGAATGGTTGAGGTAAGCTTCTATTTGGATTTAAAATTATATCCATGTGGGAAAGGAAAAGTGGCATGGATTAATGTCCATTACTACACGAATGTAGAGTTCAGTTTGTAAATAGAGAGTTTAATGTAGCTTGGCCTATCCTACAAGCCAAAACCCAGTTGTCGTTTTTGCTAGGTGAACTTGACATGAATGAATGCAAGTGACATTCACAAAGCTTCGCAATTCTATACCACTAGATTTTCTAGCCTCCTGTCCAATTCTATAATCAAGCACCCTTGGCCTGATTTAGTAAGAACCCCCTCCTCCCCTTTCCCATATGCCTAAATATAAGGCTACTCCAATAACAGAGGCTTTGAAAGAGAACCCCCCCCCCTCTCAAGCCTATACAATATTGCTTTTACCTGGAACCATAAGAGGACCAAGTTCTTTGTGCTTCAGTGTTACAGATCAGGGGTCTCCAACCTTGGCAACTTTAAGACTTGTGGACTTCAACTCCCAGAGTTGCTTCACTGGCTGAGGAATCTGGGAGTTGAAGTCCACAAGTCTAAAAGTTGCCAAGGTTTGGAGACCCCTGCTAGAGATGATCACATCCTCTTAATTCTGCCTAGTAGCCACACCTTCTTCACAGTGTATTTCGAGAGAAAAATAGACAATAGAAAACATACTGAAGTCATTCTACATACAAAAAACATCATACCAGCCACACGAGGGGAAGACCAAACACCACAGTGTGCGTTTTCTTTTCATTTCATTGCTCTCTGCTTTCAAAGCCTGAATTAATTATATGGAGATTTTTTTTCCTCTTTGTGCAAGAACTGTCTGTTTATACCAGCTTGATTTAATAAAAACAGAGAAGGTTAAAAGCCGCAATATCCACTGGGGAAAGAGGTCAATATCCGCAAGAAGGCAGGTGTAATGTTGGGATCCAGGTCCTATGCTTTTGTATGCCCACTGATTTGCCATATAAAAAAAAATGCAATACTGTGTCTGCCATCTTGCAGATTTTGACACGTCCCCTTGTGGATGCCCATAGTCAAATGGCATTTCAAATGCTGCATAGGCTTATTTTATACAGTGGCCCTGATGATGTACTGCTGTGATATTGGGAAGGTTATCTGTAGGTATATCAGAATAAGGGCAATGTGGGAGCATAATTTGAGCTACAGCTCCTATCATTCATGACAAAAGATCCATCTTTGGCTCCCTGACATACAATTAAGAAAATATGATTTTGGGAAATTAGCTAAATATTGAGACTGAATACTGCATCTTCACTTTTGACTTAGTGTTTTGTATTGCTTAGCAACAGACTTATTCCACTAAATGTTGTGATCTTTGTACACTTAAGGCAAACCTCTTAAATGAAAATAATTCTATAGTTTCCTTTAGAGGAGAAATGGTCATTAAAAGCTTGCTGAATTAAAAGATGGTTAAGGAAAGACAGGCAGATATTTGTACTAGCAACTTGCAAATCAATAACTTTTGGATTTACTTTGGGTAACATATCACTAAGAGTAGATGAGTTTTTTTACAAATGTTCTTGGTATAGAACTCAATGGTATTTTCTTAGCTCTGACCACTGTACACGAGCTTAAAAGATAGAAGAATTCTGTTTTGTTACACTCTATACAAAATGTTAATGTTTTCTTGTAAGACATTATCATTTAATACAATGAATGTGGTTTCCAGACAACATTTGGTCCAAGCACTTTTCTTTAGAAATTCATGAATAAATATTTTTAAACTTCTAGACACAATTCACCGGAGCAAGTCCCATTGAACGAGATGGAGTTTACTTCTGAATAATCCTTTGTCTGATTAGACTTGTATCACTTGTTCCTTATTTATCCTCTTAATTGCTTGAATCATGAATATATGAATAGTATACATATATTATGTATCCATCACACTATTCCCTTTTGGGTTAATCAACATAATGAACAGTGCAGTAAAGAACCAAGAAATAGTATACTGAAGAAAGTTAAGGCATGAGATAAGAAAAAGAAACTTCTCTCCTTAGGAGAATTTGAGTTTCATTCCACATGACTTTCTTGGTCTTCCCCTACCTCTCAACACACTCTTTCTTCATGTACTTAGTCTGCAAATCAATCTTCATTTGTTCTTTTTATAGGACCAAACCATTTCAATATACTTCTTTTGTACAATACTGGTGACTCACTTTTATATTCAGTCCACATTCATTTTCTAGCTATTCATTCTTGACCATGCTTTACCTCATACACTTCTTAAGTAATTCATTTCCATTGCATTGAAGTTATTTTTATGTTTATCCTGACTGTGTTCCATATAACATACTGGGCAGAAGTATTGTCTTATTCAAAGCTATTTTTGCTTATTTTTATGTCCATTCCTCTACTCACTATAATTTTATCAACATTGGCATTTCTCCAATTGGAAATCAGCTTTATTTTTTAAAAAAACTGGAAAAGAGGATTGTCCACTGATACAGGTAATTTTGTTCAGTGGTACTTGAATTACATCTCAATATGGTTGTGTTGTCACAGGATTTTCCAGACTGTTATTGGCACTCATTATTTTTCCAACTGAATTGTGATTTGCATAATATAATCCTGATGACAATCTATTAACTATGAGTCTGAATTTGAAGGAGATTTCATGGTCATGATTTGCACACTTGTCTTCATAACCATTTTTGGAGAAAAAAAATAATTGAATGAAATTATCAGTCATTTAGTTAGTTTAAATTTTGTGGATTGTGACTGGGCCTCTTCTCATACGCTGTTTTGTCAACTAAACAAAGCCACTTCATCAGATTTGGTTTAGCCTACAGTAGAATGAACAGATGTGATTCTGTTGTAAACAGCTGCCTCATATTCAGAAACAAATGTAACCACTCTGTCTCTCATTTTTCAGCCTGTATTTAACATTTTGCTTTTTGAACTTGATCAAAGAATCATGTAATACTTCTCAATTCTCCAAAAAACCAATTGCAAGTGATCAAACAGTGGAACAGTTTGTGAAGGAAACCATGTATTATCAACCTGAAGCAGATAAAATGAAAATAAAAAATAATAATAATAGAGTGCACAAAACAAAACATTTTAGTATTTCATGAAAATCCGGGATATTTTTAAAGCTCCCTGTTATCAAATCCAATCTGTCTTATTATAGATTCCACATCCAACACTTTATGATTCCATTCTCACCTACCTGAGATCCTTTTCTGTTTGCCATCTCTATATTTTTCCTTGCTGCTTTGTACAGCAATCACCTTTGCTCGCCCACTTTCACTACTCGTTTATAGGATGCTCTACTCATCTGTCAGTTCTTATTCTCATTTCTCAGCACTTACATTTACACACTGGCATCTTAACTAGAATTCATTCACATCCCAGTGGTTCTGCTTTCCACCAACAGCATTTTGAGATTCTTTCCCTCTTTCCCTCTGAAAGACAGTTTGAGCTTCCCATACAAAGAATCTATCACTGCAACACAAACAATAAAATGTTTTGCAATGAGCAATCTAGTTATGATGGAGAATTTCGGAGGAGGAGGCATTTTCTGTAAAGAAGAAATTAAAAAACAGAACCTAGAAGGCCAGAATGGGCCAAGAGTCACCTGTTGCTCTGGTCTGCTTTGCACGCTGACTTCTCAGTGGCAGAAGAGAGTGGGTAAAGGGAAGGGAAATAGGAGGTCTCCAACAGCTTTCAGTAGTCTTGCGTTTGGTACCCCTGTGTCCCAGCATCAAAAGCATCTGCGGAAAGGGGCTGCTGGTAGGTCGCCATGCTATCTGTGGTATCCTCATTTGTGTAGGGTGCATAAGGCATGCCAGCCTCCTGGCTTGGATCTGTGTAGTCCTGGGAGAAGAGTGCTGAATCCGCTCCAAGTTGATATCGCTGGAATGCCAGAAAAGACTGGCCCACCTTTAAGGGAGGATATGGTGGCATGGGGGAGATTTTGGAAAATGGGATGGGAAAAACAAAAAACAAAAGAGAGAAACATACCAGGAAGAAACAAATAGAAGCTGTGTTAATAATGGTTAGTGAACAAGACATAAATTAGGGAAAGAGACATGTTGCAATTACTTAATTAAATGCAATTACATTCTAAAGACCAGGTGATCTGGTACAGCTCACCAAGACAAGCGAGTTCAAGAAAGAAACTGCAGAGTAAGCAAGGGAAGAATAAACTTTTAGGAGAGATCCTATGGCTTATTTACTTGGGTAAAAGACTGGCGAAAACAAAGCTACAGTAGAAGATATGGTTCTGGAGTGCTTTTTTTAGCATGTCCAAACCCAACAAGGCCAGATCAAATATGTGGAAGGCATTAGTCGGACCTCTTTCATATTCAATATTTCATATTCATATACCTGAGGCAGGTAACAGAAGGATGACACAAGGCTGTGCAGCCAAGCTTTTCAATGCTGACTGGGCTATGGAGGTAGAGTTTGAAACAATATTAGCTTCCTAATATCCATGCAACTCCACCTCTATTAGTTCTGAAGATCTATGGAAGCTGACAAGTAGAAATAAAGGTGAACCATATGTTCATGATTAATTGAAGTAGTGGTTATAAGAGGTCCAGCCCCGTCATAAATCTCTTATTTGTGAAATAGTCTTTAGTAACAATGCTGAAGAAAGAGTGTGGGAAGCTGTCACAGTTACTAAACTGCCTTTTGATACCATCAACATGTAAGTTACACAACAGAAGAGCAAGTTGTGGCAATAGAGGGTGAGCAGGAATAGAAAACACATTTTGTCATTAGTGTTAAAATTGTTAACCAAGTCAACCAAAAAGGCACAATAGTGTTATCTAGAACTGAGGGTAGAAAAAGAAGCAAAAGAAAAGAAATTGAATAGGACATATTCTACTTTCAACTATTTGAGGCTTCAAAAGAAGACAACCTCAAATATTTCCTTAAGTATCTCAATGTTTCCAGAATTTTCCTTTTCCCCCAAAACATGCTGTTTTATTTGCTGGATAAAACTAGGGCAGCTATTTTATCCTGTTTCCTTCCTTCCTTGCACTTTAAGCATCAGAAACATTTGCTCTAAACATTTTCTCTCTGATATGTCAATTTTATGCACCCAAGTTTAGGGGAGAACTGGTGAAGAATTAGGAAACAGTGTGTTGTATTCTTCCTGAAAAGTAATTTCTCCAAGTCTGCGAAAGGCCAGAAAAGTCAGGAAGCTCTGTAGGAAAAGAATAGGATGGACAAAGGGCATTAGACACGATGTGAATTCAAGGCCTTATTGAAATTAAAGATAACATGGGAAAAACAGCTGGATGTCTAACTTCCATTTAGCAGAAGAGAAATGTGAAGTGGCGGTATTTATAATAAAGGACTTCATTTGACAGCAAATTTCTCCTGTAGATAGATTTTTTTTCTGTTTGGACCAGAAAAGGACTCAATCCATCCCAAGATTAAAAGCAGGGGTGAAATCCAGCTGGTTCTATCCGGCTTGGGAGAACCAGTAGCAGCAGCTGCAGGAGGCTCCACCCACCCGCACAGACGTCATGATGTCGGTTTTTTTGTGACATTTTAAGCCTCTGCGCATTCGGAGAAGGCTTTGTGCATGCGCAGACGACAGTGCACGCGAGTGGAGCACGCATATTGGCGAACCAGTATGGAAGGTAAGTGAATTTCACCCCTGATTAAAAGCTGTCAGTGATGGGGTCCTTGGTACCCTGTGAGCTTGGAGATACTCTTCTATCAGTGCTGCCAATGATAAAAGCAATAAGCAACACTGGGTGGGGTAACCTCAGCCCTCCAGGACAGCATCCCCAGATAAAACCATTGAGATTTGCCAACGAAGTGGCCAGATTTAAATGGCAGAATTTTGGAATGCTTGGGAAGATTAGTGAGGGGGAAGGGAGCAGTTTGCTTCTCCCAGTCTTTCCATTCCCACCCTAATCCCCACAAAAATGTTTTGATGGAAATTAAATGACAGAATCATTGTGCAACCTCCAAAATCCCTCCAAAAGGCTGGGAAGAAAAGCCATGGCCCCTCATTTAGGAGCGACAGTCTAACATTTAAACAGCATCTGGAAGAAAACAAATACCAAAACCCAGGGGGAAAAGGAAAGGATTTCATAAAATGCCAAAAAACTCCTGAAGCTTTGTTTCTAACTAAAATAAAAATCAACTGCATCAACAAATATAGGGATTTCTTTTAGACAAAATCATTTTCTGTACTATTCTGGGTTGTCTCTCACCCTTTCATTTCTTGATTTTCTTTTGGAGTTCTCTTCCGAAGGAACACTTAAAATTTGGTTATATTTAAATGTAAATAAAAATAAGTAGTAGAGAATTCTCTTCTTCTCTATGAAAAGCAATCATCTTGTATGGTAATAGCTTTCTTGCAGCTCTTCCAAATTCTCACCATGTGACAATATATAAGGCAAATATGCCGTATGATACTATATCTCTAAAATGTAATATAAGTCTGTATCAGGCCAGTAATCAGTGTCAATTGTAATCCACTCTGCACTTTTTGTTCCTTCCATTATCAGAGGCAGAATATTCTTTTTTTATAATCCACCAGTCAAACTGTGGGTAATTTTAAATTTAAAGACATTAAATGAATATTTACAGATGGACAAAATATGATCTATTCTCATTCACACTGTAGAAATGGCAAGTCTAGTTTGCTGTAGTTATTATATCAAACTATTCCAACAATGATTGTATTTATCTAAAAATTTCTGCATTGCTTCTCATATTTATAGAGGGGGGGAAATGTAGTGCTAAATCAATGAATTAGCTACTGTATCATCAAATTTGGTGGTTTTCTTTTTTAAAAGGTGCTAGTGCCAAATGAAATAAGAATTCCTTTCTTAAGTAGCCAATGAGAACCTTTAAAATGTTTTGAAAATGGCAATTAAATCCATGAAAGGAAGTCCAGCTTATGTGAAGAGCATCAGGTTGGAGAAAACTGTCATGGAACCATTTTGCATTACAAAGCTTAATTTGAAAAACAAGTTGGATTAGATGCCTCAAAGGCCTCCCCTAGTTCATTGAGATACAGAGCTGTAAAAGTCAGGTTAAGATGGTTTTCTTTACTGCAACTTCATCTCCAGTAGGAAAGTAATGGAAAGAAAACAGGTATAGTATGTAAATAACAATGTTTTTGACCAACTAACTCTTTTTTTTTTCTCTAGAGTCAAGTCACTGATTATTCAGATCATATAAGCAGATTTTCTAAGGCTAAAGACTGCCACAGAGGAGCTCTCCCTTTTACAAATGGAAACTGGGGCAATAAGATGCTTATAAATAACATTCCTCATTATTAGACAAGGCTCAAGTCTGCATAACTTACCCAGGTGAAGATGGAGAAAAAAGAGAAGGCAATGGCTGCTCGGGCTGCATCTGATCCTTCATTCAGTGGACTATCCTCTTCCTTCGAAACACGCCATTGGTCAGCCAAGAAACAAAAACCGACAAACCAGAGAAATGCCCAAAAGCCTATAGGAGATCATAATCAAAACAAGAAGAAAGGATGAAAGAATACACACCCAAGAATTTTAATTCTCACACGTGTTCAGAAATTTTTCCCTGTAACATCTCAAAGTGATTTGCAAGTTGGGATAAATTCCAGTTCTTTATAGCATGGAATTGCAAGTTAAATCCAAACATATTATTCCCAAGTCTTATATTTCCCAAATTTGAGGGACTCAAATAATATTAAGAGAATTAGTGGTTAAGAGAGCCCTTTCCCTCTCTGCTATCTATTTCTGGCAAATATGGGATTGGTCATTTTAGCATCTTTTATTTGGCCAGGATCGGCACTCTGATGCAATTCTAGCTGTGAAAATATTATAGTAAGTCCTCTTGTTGTTCTCCATGCAGGTAGTCCTTGATTTACTACCATTCATTTAGCAGCCATATGAAGTTACAATGGCAGTGGAAAAAGTGATTTATGATCAATCCTTGAATTTACAACCATTGCAGCATTCCTATCATCACAGGATCAAAATTTGGAGATTAGCATATATTTATGACAATTGCAGGATCCCAGAGTCATGTGGTTGCCAATTGCACCCTTCCTGGCTGTCTTCCAACAAGCAAAGTCAATAGGGAAGTTGGATTCACTTAATGATGGTGTGATTCATTTAACAACCATGGCAAAAAGATTGTAACATTGGGTGTGACTTGCTTAACAACCATCTTGGTTAGCAAAGAAAACTGTGGTCACAATTGTCAAGTTCTATACACACAAACACACAGCAATTTCCTATCCTGGTACTCTTCTCCTCTTTCATGCTTTGCAAGCCAGCAGCAATAGCATCTTTTTTTTAACTGTTAAGGAACGTAGCTGTATCACAGAGGACATTTAGGAAAAGGAGGAAGAAGGGAGAGGATACATATTCATTTACCCAGCAAATCAAGTTTGTTGGGTTAGCATTCAGTTCTGCCCTAAGCAAGGAACATGCTGTGGAATGGCAAGGCTTAGTCATCAAGAGTAAGTTCATTTCCATTGTACAAATGGAATCTCCTGGCCTCACAACAGTGGAGTCACTTGCTCACTTATTCTTGAATTGTAGCAATTCTTCAGAACTGAACCATACAATGGAACACAGGCTCAGCTGAGAAGGAGGACAGATGTAGAAAGAGCCCTATCTTGAAGGAAGTGCTGAATTGTTGAAAGTCAGAGGCAGAGTTATTATTCCTGCATAGATGGGGTGAGGGAGAGAACCAGTGGTGGGTTTCAAAATTTTTTACTACCGGTTCTGTGGGTGTGGCTTAGTGGGCATGGCTTGGTGGGCGTGGCAGGGGAAGGTTACGGCAAAATCCCCATTTCCTCCCGATCAGCGGGGACTTGGGAGGCAAAAAAAAGATGGGGACGGACCAGTCACAGGTGGTATTTACCGGTTCTCCAAACTACTCAAAATTTCCACTACCAGTTTTCCAGAACTGGTCAGAATCTGGTGAAACCCACCTCTGGAGAGAACAATGTGATTTTGGCCTCATTCTGAGTCAAAGCAGGAACCAAGAGTTAAACTGACTCTGACTGCCTTGAAACACAGTTTTTTAATTACTAAGTTTTGCTTTTAAGTAATCATTGCTAAGAGAACTGGAGTAATAACTCCAACATGTATTTCCTTTCTTCCATTATTTATGTAGCATTTCCATGCTAGTAAGCTAGCTGTCAGCATTCCAGAAAAAAAAAAAAAAACCCAACTCCAAGTGAAAACCCTAAAGCAAGCATTTTTTAAAGTTCTATTTACTAGAATAGGCAAACTGGCACATCTGGGAAAACCTGAATCTGAGAGGTCCGGGTTTTCCCTCAGTAAATCAAAATCCCCAAAACCATCCCCTCAGTTCTCAGTCGATCACATGCTCCAATCAACCGCCGTCCCATCTCGAGACATAACTCCAACCACTCCTTCTCTAGATGCAGGATCGGCCTGACCTTGACCGACAGGAAGAATGCTATTATGTCTAAAGACAACCCCTCTACTAAATCCCCCCTCCTATTTTCCCACATATGAGAAGGTGGCAGCATGGAAGCTTCCGGCTTAATATGGCTTCCAAAGCTGACACTAGCTAGCTCTGCTATAGAATTTACTAACATAGAAGAAACAAAGCAAAACAAAACAAAAATGAGCAGGCATTATGTAAATATCTCCCTGGCTGTTCTTTTCTATCCTGACATCATTAACAGATGTATCTAAATATTATACCTTAATGGATTTATAATCAAATTGTGCCATCTTATAGAGCCATTTGATGTAGTGGTTAAAACATCAGTCTAGAAAGGAGGAGATTGTGAGTTCTAATCTCGCTTTAGGCACAAAGCTACCTGGGTGACCTTGAACTAGTCACTTTCTCTCAGCCCTAGGAAGGAGGCAAAGATAAATCACTTCTAAAAAAAACTCTTGTCAATAAAACTGCAGGAACTTGTCAATCTCCAAGAAGAATGGATGAATGAATGAAAACTGCAGGGACTTGTGCAGGTAATTTCCATGATTGAATGGATGCGGGGAGGGGGAAGCCACCTCTAACATCTCTCAACAGAAACAATCTGCACGTCAATGGAAGAGAATGGAAGCCTGATGCTCCAGTACAGCAATGTGCTTTATTTTCTCTGAAAGCACAAGTGCATTTTTTTTCAAACGTGCAAGGGTGCCGGTTTCCAAGATTCTCAGTCAAACCAGCCTCCACATTATCTAAAGAGTTGCGGCTGGGGAAGGCCATACAATGTTAGGTTAGGCTGCATTAGCTCATGCTTGAAAATTTTCAGAGAAGGCTTCCTTGAAGGAAGAATTAGTATGGAATCACTTCTCAACTATAAAAATAACATTTAAACCCCGCAATTGTGACAAATAATTCACCGAATAACCCTGTCCACTGGACAACTGTTGCCTTGTCAGATTTATTTATTGGATTCTAGGCTCTCTGACTCCATAAAATTCTAGAATGAAAGGTTAATGTTTCATTAAGTTGCCCACACAAAACCACATAAATAGCACTCCTAAAAAACTGTTGGAGCTCCACAAACACTCTAACTTCAGGTCTGGGAAAGGGCCAGGTCTTAAGAGGCTTCCAGGCGGCTTGAAGCATTGGGGCTTATGTGTCTCTGGAGGAATGTTGTTCATGGGACTCCTTTGGTCCCATGAGATAACAACATTTAATTGAGCAGACCTCTACTGTGCCCACTATGCCCAAGCATACCAGAAAGGCAGAAACAATTGGAGACAATTACTAGCAGTAGCAAATTATGATGCTTGGAAGAACTGTAGGAACAAATCAGCATCTCAGGAAAAAAATACGTTTTTAAGAAAGATGTGTAATTCAAGTGTAGAAATTCACTGAAATAAAAGTAACTTAAATAAGTTGTGATTGCTTTAAGGTTTATATATCAATTTGCTTTGGAACCAGTCTTGAAATAGTTGAATAGAACAATGAGTCCAATTAAAGGAAAGCTTAAATCAAGAGGGTTTTTAAAAAATATTTCTAATAGTTCAGAACAGCAGTATCTCCATGTTGGGTCTTAGATTCTTTATTCACCAACTTGCATGCTTCGAAACCCACCCACCCACCCATGGATGCTGCTGGTTCAAAGCTCCTGGCTGGTGCTCTTGCAGAATATTCTCTGTATGGGTAGATCACTCTCCTAAGCCGATTACATCCTGCATAAGCCAGCCCCAATTCCTTTTAATTTGGTCTTCAGTTTCATAAGAAGTAGAGAAGATTCTGAGTCTTACTGTATCCTTTAGAGCCAAAACAAATGGCAGTGACATCTTTTTAGTTTAATTTGGAATTAGCTTGCTTTAGTATTAAGATTTATTTGGTGGAAAGTTAGTAATTTGAAGACTGGCTAGCTGTAAAGCTAGCATATATTATAGATAATATCTGAAAGTGGGTGTTCCCTTTCTCCATTATACCCAACAGCTCTCCCTTCAACAGGGTATTTCTAGGAATAATTTTTCTTTTTTACAAAGTGGTGCCAAGAATCCTTCTGGTTACTTTTATTTGTGCATTTCTGAATGATGTTAAGGAAAAGCAGCCACGTGACGCCATCGTTTTCCAGAGTCCTCATTTGCATTGAGTCATCATAGACAGAGGACATCCTGCATGACAGTCGTTCTCCATTACAGAAAAGGCAACACCTTCTATTCACAGTTAATTAATTAAAATGGGTTAATTTATAAGCTAAAAAGAGTATAACTGGTGAATTTAAGAATAGGAGAAAGGGTAAGCAAGATGATGCAAGAGAACAAAAAAATGCTTTTAATTTGAATCAGTGATCAGTTTATTTAACAAAGCAGATTCCAAAGCAATGCAATTCCATCTCTGGTTAATAAAAAGCCATTTAAATCATGTATACAAATGTAAGGCTGGATCCATATTCACCAACAGGCATACACACTGTCCCTATAGAAACCCATATACATTCACCAGAAACTCACCAGATACTCCAATGTCTGAAAGCACAGCTTTCTTGCGATCCTTGACGCTGCTTATCTGCGGGAAGTAGACATCTAGGGCTAAGTAAAGAAGGCAGGTGAGAAATGCAAGGACTCCCACGGTGATACCATAGTTGCAGGCATTCTGGTTGCGATTGTAGATGCAGAACTGTTCTGGTGTGTTGGGTTGGTTGAAATAGCCTTCATTCACAATGCAGCCAAACACAACAATGGAAAAAAGCTGGGATACAGAAAAGTGAGAAAAGAGTTAAAAGAATTCATTATACAAATACAAAATTCACATGAGGCAGACTGGTTATGGATCATCAGGTTGGTGTTGGCACTTAGCAAATAGATCAACAGAGCAGCCATAAGAACTCTAGATCTAGTGATTTATATTATCACAACCCATCCATCCACTTAGGCTTTCATATAACAGAATAACAGAGTCATATCATCACCGCTACCGGCTCAACCGAACCGGACCGAACCGGGAGGAACCCACCACTGCCTATACCATTTCAGACAAGTGGCTTTCCAGTCTCTTCCTGAAAGCTTCCAGTGATGAAGCATCCACAACTTCTGAAGACAAGCTGGACATTTCTCCTTAGTTGTAGGTTGCTTCTCTCCTTCATTAGTTCTCATCCATTACTTCTTGTCTTGCTTTCTGGTTCTTTGGAAGATAGGTTAATTCCCTCTTCTTTGTGGCAGCCCCTCAAATATTAGAACACTGCTATCATGTCACCCCTAGTCGTTCTTTTCACTTGACTAGACAAATCCCAATTCCTACAACCGTTCTTCATATGTTTTAGCCTCCAGCCCCCTAATCATCTTTGTTGCTCTTTTCTGCATTCTTTCCAGAGTCTCAACATCTTTTTTATAATTTGGTGCAATATTCTAAGTGTGGTCTTACTAAAGCTTTATAAAGACCATACTTAGAATATTGAATATGTATACCATTTTTAAAATTCCTTATTTTTTTCAAATCAAGAAAAAATACATGAATAACATTCAGAAATTATATTCCACAATTAGCATTCTTGACTTTTCATTTACTTGTTCAATTATATTTTTGCTTCGTTGTTCATTCATTAATTCATTTCTTCAGACTTCTTTATCTTTTTCCCAATCTATTTAATGCAGCTACATAATATTTACATAATACCAAGATAGTCATAAAATAAGAACCAGCTAAAGGTAGCATTCAAATCTATTCTTCAGAATGATTCAGGGAATTTCATTACCTACCCCTTTCTGATTTCCTAACCCTGTGCTCTATCACAATAGTTTTTCATGGTCTAAACACAAGAATGTATAAATCCTTTGGTAAACATACTGATATAGCAAAAGAAAACCAAAGATCACTAGGAAGAGAGAAATATGTTTCCAACATACACTGTAAGATATCCCAAAGGTGACTTTTCAAGAACCATGACCTGGATGATTGAGAATCTCCATAGACACACTGTAAGATAATTCCATTCAGACCTCTGCATTCAACTGCAGAATTTAACCTTGCACACAGACCTACCAAACAGCATACCTGAAGGGCAGCAAGTTTTGAAAGCCTGCTCATTTTCCAAATATCCTGTAGTTGTTCTTGTGGGATAGAATTATATTAATCAAGAATTGCAAATATTTCCAATCTGAAAACTAACATATGGTTAAATCTGCATGATGGTTTCCTAAATTTTTCTTTCTGAGTGGAAGCTAATGTTTTCAAAAGTAATCATCATCCTCAATCACCTATCTCTACTTTAATCAGATGTTTATTTATGCACAAATTCATTATTTTGCTTTTTAAAAAAAAAAATTATATACTGTCCATTCGGATAGGTCAAGGTGACCTCCAGGAATATATCAATAACATACAACATAAGCATAGTTGCATGGGCAGTATATTATATTTACACTTTATGAGCTTTTTAAAATCTATTTTTGTGGTTTTCTGTGAACCACCCAGAGTTATGCATTCAAGATGAGTAGCCACATAATTTTTCTAAATAATACATTCTAATAGCTGTACATTTAAAATATTTAAAAACAAAATGGAAAGTACTAAAACTGTAGCAAGTATATTTTAAGCCCTCTCCTAAATTGTATTGTATTTAGGAGCTTTAGTTCCTGTAACAATTAATTTCACAGAGTGTAACAGAAAAAAACCCAGAAATTCCTGTAAATCACAGGTGTCAAACTCTCCGCATCACGTTGCTGTCACGTGACATTTCATGATGCTTTTCCCCTTCGCTGAACTGGGGTGGGTGTGGCCTGTGCGTGAAGTATCCGGCCCGTGGGCCGCCAGTTTGACACCCCTGCATGTAGATATTAAACATATTTGTGCTGATATTTAACATATTAAGGACCTGGACCTAAGACTGAAAGACAAAATGAATAAAAACAGGTGATCTGCAGATAATTTGGCCTATGCCACGTAATGTTTATGCTCTATAGTGACTACCTTGAATAAGGGTGGTGCATGGCAGTTTACAGAACTGTTTACCATAACCAACAGTATTTATAATTCCTTTATTATTTTTATTTAAAATATTTTAAAATAAATTGTTATGGTATAAAAAATGATGATACACATGTTTAAAGTGAAGTCACACATCTTAAATAGATACTTCATTAGGCAACCTCTCTAACCATGGAGGATTCATTAAAAACATCAGTATACTTTTTCTTTTGAATCACTTTCATACTAAAGTCTTACTAATCTAACTCATATTATAGTTTAGGGACAATAAAGAGCCTTATTAACTGTGGAAGAAAACAATCCCAGTTAAGGTGTGATTAGGAAACTTCTGAAAAATTTCATGTACTTATCAGCATGTGCCACAATTTAGGACCATTTCTTTAAACCCAGGACCCGATTACATTTCCATCTGAAATAAATTGTATAGCATGTAGATAGAGATTGATAGCAGAAAAATCGGAATTAACAACTGTTTTATAATGTTTCAGGTCACTTCTATTTATAGATATAGAGGACGGACAGACAAACATGGCTGTAGGCAAAGCATTTCCAAGAAAATGAAGAAAGAATGATAAGAGAATGCAAGGCACAGAGACCTGATAGACACTAAATTAAACACTAAAAATATTTTCTCAGAACTCCTGTGATTTTAAAGCTTCACTTGTTATTTTCACTGGATATTTTCTCCATAAAGTCAGTCAGTAATCAAAGATTACCCTCATCTCCCTTATTCCCAATGTTGCAAAGTAAATTGAGCAGATAGCTTACACAATAGATCTCTTGACTGCCATGTGATGCCTGCAGCATGATACTCATTTCCAGTGGTCTATTAAGCTCTCTTAAGTATCATGTGATGTGCTGGCATCTCAGGCCCCAGATGCCTCTTGAGCACCAGACAACGGAAGCTGCCATTCTCCTTAACCAGTGTATTATTTAATTTTTGAAACCACCCTCTGTGCCTTGAATTCTTTTTATTTCTAGTACTTTGCTCATTATGAATCCTTCCCCTCCCAGAAATGCTGCAGCTAAACCATCAAATTTCTCACCAGGTTTATACTAGAATTGATCTCAGAAAAGAATAAAGCAGGTTTTTTTTCTTTACATTTGAGGAACAATTGCAAGCAAAAACAGCTGGGGGACTTCCTCTTGAGCTTTATTAACCCTTATCTGGCACCAAAATAGTGCTAACCATTAGTTGAGTAGATTCCTGTGCACAGACAGGCATGAGCTACATCAGTTTAATTGGAACTTCAGGTGTGGTCCTGATCTTTTGCGCCTGCCACATAATAATGATATTCACTTAACAAATTCAATGATTGACTTAAAACTGTGGCAAAAAAAAGTCATAAAATCGAATGTGCTTAACAACCGCCTCGATTAGCAACAGAACTCTGGTCCCAATTATTGTCGTAAGTTGAGAACTACCTATAATTGAAGGAATCTCTTTCCATTTGGACTTGCAACTTCACCTTTTTTGTGAGAGGCGGTTATTCAAACGGAGCACAAATTATTCTGAGTCTTTTTCATATAAGATCTATTCATCTAACCTATTCTTAAAAATGTTCAGAATATCTTACGCTGCTTCTGAATTTAATAAAACCAACCTTCTACATGCCCATTAATAAGCAAATCCTATTCACAATGGACTAAATCCTAGATAACTATAGACAGAACCACTGCCTAGGAAGGTCAAGATGAATCATGTTGTTGGCACTTTTCACTTTTAATATTGTTTGTAACTTGGAATAATAAGTGGTACCTTTGCTGTCATATATTTGTATTTTACATGCTGCCAGCTGCCAGCTCCAGTCTTTTTTGACATTTCAGTTTCATGCAACATGCAATTCTCATGCTTTTCTACAGAAATGCTTTCTCTGCCATTCCTGAAAATGAATTCAATGCACGCTTGTTTGCTTGAAAATTGATGCCTCTGTATTATTACTATACTCAGTTCTGCACAATTTAACATGGGAGATATCTCACCCATATTATGTTTCAATGCTTTTAAATAAGAGAGACTTTCTCCATGCTTTGCTTATATTGTGGCTTGACAATTGCATTTCACTTAACCTGGGATTGCCCTAAAAAGTGTCCAAAAATTGCAGTTGGTGCAAAACATGACAGCAGAAAATACAAGGATCATACAATATTTGTACAAAAAGGTCTTTACTGGTTGCCTTTTATCTACTAAGCACAATTTAAGGTGTTGCTGATTACAGCTTAAAGTCTAACTAACTAAAGCCTTACCTGATCATGCTTGTACGTGTTCGCCTATTTCTTATATAGGACCTTCTCCTGTGTGATGCTCTACCTTTACATTTCACATTTTCATTTATTGATTTGGATGTCAGTCAATCAATCAATCAGATCTTTATTATGGTCACAAGGCAACATAAATAATTTGGATAAGAAGTGGATGGAATGCTTATCAAATTTGTGTATTATTCAAAATTGGGTAGAATAATTTTTATTCCAGAAGATAAAACTCAAAGCAAACACTATTCAGATATAGAGATATATATTTAGGTACTTAAGAAAAATATTTTAGAAGAGTAGCTTGCAAACTGAATACGATCCAGCAGTGTGAAGTGACAAACAAATGCAATTTTAGCTTACATCAATAGAAGTATAATTTTCAAATTAGGAGTATTTGTTCTATTTTATTCTGCACTGATCAGATTCTATCTTGTCTGGTTTTTGGAACTACACTTTTAAAAGGATATATAGAGAAATTGGAAAAGATTCACAAAAGATCAATGTACATG